GAAGACTCTTAAACCCTAATGATGCCAAGAGCAACGCGCTAAGAGGATCCCCTGTTGTAAGTACCATGACAACCCACCTCTATTAACGCTGAAATTCGGCTTTGTGAGGGTAGCACGTTTCAGTTCCACCGGGTGAAGCCCAATTTGTACCACAGGCTGCTGTGCTGTGAAGGGGAATTTCAATGCCCTGTTGAACACTAAGTCTTTTTGTTAGTTTGTTTGCTTGTTGGCAAAATAATCTTTAGACTGACATATTGACACATGCCGTAAGATTTCCCGAATTGAACTTCTTGCTTCCCTCTGGAAATGATGAGATTGGAAGAAAAAGCATATTCGTGTTAAACCAGCTGAATACAGAACAGAGCTAGGTCTTCTCCGCAATCACTGACACACGGGGCTCGTGATTGCGGAGCGTGAGCCGCGCACCCAGGAGAGATTGAAACATTCCTTGGTGAACCGGCGCAAGTTCCGCTACGTAGTGCGAATGTGAATAACGAAACAGAGAAGTAAACGTGAACGTTCTGGGAAGGATGGGCACCTCTTAGCCTTGAGCTAATTTTAGAAATAACAATCTAGTTATTTAAAAATCAATTACAAAAAATATTACTCTGAATTAGAAAATATGTATTGACACGAACGCCGACTCTAATAGATATCGCTTATCTAAAGGTTAAACAAATAAATCCATGTGTACGTAAATAAAAGCAAAGATCTTAATATAATGAGCTGTAAATATATATAGTAGTTATCTTTGGTTTTAGGGAAGGTAGATAGAGGAAATAAAGCTTTTACTTTATAATTTAATCTTTGCTTTCCTCTAAAATTTTTGAAGCTACTAATCGCGTTACTATCTTACAACTTTACAGGACAGTTTGATTGTGATTCACCTGTGTGTGCACTTTGATTTTTTCTACACGTAAAATGATAATTACATGTTATAAAAAATATAACATCACACATGAAAATTTATTAGTGGATTTTATTTCTCCAAATTTTCTTTGACAATGAAATTATCGTAAGTTACATATGTATGTGTATTTATATAAAGATATTTTAAATATTATCTTTACAAAATAACTTAGCCTTTATAAAGTTTTTTTCTATATTGAATGTTTTTGAATTCTATTTCTAAAAATATATCTACATTGTATCTGCTGTCTTTATTATTTTATTTATTGGCTATTTTACCACTCAAGTTCTAATTTTATTTACTGATTTTTATTGCTCCATTTCTGACAGATTTCCCTAACTCAGTTTTAGAATTTGTGTCTTCTAATTGGAGAATTTAACCCATTTAAATTACTTCTAAATTGACTTTAATAATTCCTTTCTGCTATAATTGTCTTTATTTCTTTAATGCTATATGCATTTCTTCTCTTTTTTCTATTGTAGTTATTGTTGTTCTTATATGCTGTTCATTTCTTTTGGTTGCTTTAGTTGAATAAAAATTTAACGTGATGGGTATTGATTAATTTCTTAAAGATTAATGTTTGTTCTGTTGGTAAAACCTAACTCATTGATAAGATCCCTTGCAAAAGAAAAAGAAAAAAAAGAGAGTTCCCAAAAAGCTAACTATACTTTCTATTCTTTTCCTCTCTAGAAAGCATAATGCAAGCACAAATTATTTTAGTAGTGCCCGAACGATTATAGACCACTGTTGTTTTTAAAGCCTGCTATATATAATTCTGGCAATTTTCATTCGTTCTGTCTAAAATTTAGTGAGCGATTTTGATTAATTGCATCTTTGTTCTCCATTTTTCATCCTCTTTTTCTCTCTCCCACCCCATCACCTCCAGTATTGCCCTCTGCATCCTCTATGTATCGCCTTCATAGACTCATTTCTCTACTTGTGTTTTATCAGAAACCAAAGGAAAATTTGTCCTTTTTCTTCAGCTAATAATAGTTTTGTGCTACCTCTAATGAGATATTATTTTTGGTTTATTTGTTTCCATTTCTTTCTTATTTGTTTTTCTTGTCAACGGAAGCCAAGTTCTTCCACAGGATTGCAAGGAAAGCATTCCAAGGACCCCCACACAGGAAACTGTGTTGTGGCAAGATGGCGCATTTGTGTGGAAGGCTGGCCCTGGGTTTCCAATGTCCCGTCTCTGTCCATCCCACCGTGCCTTCGGCAAGGCCAGGACAAAAGCTGGTATCCAGAGTTGCCACTTCATATGAAAGCTGAGGCTTTTGGAGCCCACACCATCTGCAGGGGGCCCTGGTAGCTGCTAGATGTACATGGTTGTGGGCTCCCCAGAGGAAGAATGTGTGAATGCATGGGGTGATTGCGGGTCCTGGGCGAGAGAGGATGTCAACAAATGAGGCAAGTGTGAGGAGAGAGAGAGAGAGCGTGTGCGTGCGAGAGAGCGTGCCTTCATTCTCCTGGGATTATATTAACTTGGTCCATCTAATTATATCATATGAGATGGGCCAGGTGCTTTTTCAAAAGAACCATTCAACTTTCCAAGCTTTTGTTGGCTTTTGATAGATCTATACCCCCTAGTTAGACTGACAAGCCTCTTTGGACAAGCACTTCCTCCTGTGCCCCCCAACAACCTGGTACCTGAGGAGTGAGAATATTAATCCCCTTGGCAGAGCAAGGCTGTAATCCGTGGAGTGTGACTGTAGCTTCCTGGTGAAGCAAACAGGCGCATGCTTTCCCATTTGTTAAGTTCAATGTCTAATTCCCTTTTCTTCCTTCATTAATAACTAGTTAACTACCTGTGGTGACGTCTCTATGTTGTTTGGCTCTATGTCACCCTTTTATTATGGTTCTCTGCTATTATTTCACAGAAATAGCTCCTATTTGCATCTGTTTCTTAAGAAATCAGTCAGATATTAGTATATTTTTATGATTCTATTGAAGCTCATTGTAAGTATTGTGTTCCTTTGAATCCATGCAGCACTAGAATTTGGTGCATAATTAAGTGGCTGAATGTCCTTAATGTTCTGTGTTTTCAGTGATGGGATCTTCTTTACCTGTAGAACAAAACTCCCAAGTCATTCAGATGGAACTGTACCTTACTTTAAACATGGCATCTAACAGAATTTTGTGTAATACAAGTGTTCTGGAGGAGTTTTGTATTTTCCTGCTCTGTCAGTTTATCTGACCTAACAAGGGAATTAGAGTTTTGTTTTGTTTTCAATAGGTTACATACTTGTATTAAAAACCATACAGACATATTCCAAATACTCTACTTCCAACTATGTTTCCTATTTACTCTTCTCCTGCTCAAAGGTTGGGAGTTAGGATTAAAACTGAGATATTTTCTTCTATGCTTGTTATCTATATAATTCAGATTTTACTCAGCATTATATTTGGATCATTGCCACCATATTTTCTTGTCAATGAAATGAATTTTTCTTAAAATTAGGCTTGGAAGATGAGGATTAATAAAATAGAAAATTTAAGGAAAAGGGTAGTTAATTTGAGAACGTGCTCTTCCCTCCCTTCGCATCAGTTAAAAAGAAAGTAATCTAGAGGTTATGCTCCTCTCTTCAGCAAGGTGCTGTGGGGTAGTGAAGAACACAGCATTCAGGATCCAGGAGACTTGGGTTCTAGACTTGGCTCTGGGTGTGTTTGCTGTACGGCTTAGTCAATACCTAACCTTAATTACTTTCCATTTACGCTTTGTCTCTCTCCTCAAACAGTCAATTTTTTATAATAGAATATCCTGTAAGTACTTAGCAGAGCACTTAACACTCCATCAATCTTAGCTATTATTAGCTGACGTTGGTTATGCAATGTGCATCTTCATGTATACTTAGTGCAGCAATTTTCAGCTGGTGTGCCACAAGAATTTTTAAAACACGCAGTAGGGATCTCTTTTACCTTAAATTGTCAAATAAAAAAAATGACAACAGCCAACGCTGCTGTTGATTGAATGAATCAGATGTGAATGAATCAAAATTATACCCTTTTTGCCAAATCAGCAAAAAATTAAATGTATATTTTTGGTGTGCTGCAGAGTTTGGTAATTAATGTATGTGTGCCAGGTGATGAAAAAGGTTGAAAATCTCTGCTTTAGTGGAAATTTTGAAAAAGACTTCATACACATGCCTAATGAATCACCATTTTAAGAGCGATGTTATGAGCCATGTGTGACAACATGCTTTAGTTTATTTCTATGTCATAATGCTGCATGTGGCCAAGTGAGACAATTTTACAAGAGAAGATATAAATTCAGTCAAATATGAGTATGTGAGTTGAGTTTTCTCCTTAAAGGAGGGGGTGAATCAATGTAATATGTTTCCAACAATCTTCTATAAACATTGACATTCATAAGCATGTATTTACATCAGAATTATTACATTTTTAATAATGTATTAACAGAAAGAAAGAAATATAGACCAAAGATATGAATACATATCATACTCTGCCTCCAGAATTTTGAATTATTAGTGAGTGTGTTGTGTTATATATATATGTGTGTCTAGTGAAGGAAAGCCGAAAAAACACTGTAAAAATGTATTGGTGTTTGAAAATGAGGGATATTGAGAGGAATTAATTAAAATATATATGGTTAATCAAGAAAAACAATAGTGAATGTTCCAATTCAAACATAGCTTTACATGCTTCAAGTCTTTGTGGATGCATTTAATGTGAAGAGAAGGATGCGAAACCATGTTATGTACACATTTTATTTGTAGAGCTTTTATTTTTATGACTGGGTAAGTCAGTAGTGATTATTGTAGGCTACTGCTTTCTCTGCTGGAGTTGAAACAGATCTGGATTATAATGAAATAATGAAATTAATTCCTTCCCAGCCTTAGAGTAGCTGTCATCACATATACACTGCTGCTTCCGGTGCCAGGAAGAAGCATGTGGGCTTCAAAGTGAACCATGAGAATAATTCAATTATCTTAGTTTTATTTCTCCTGATAATTAACTCTTTTAAAATGGCTTTAATGTGCACAATCAGGTTTACCTATATGTATACATATATAGGCATGTGCCTAGTAATATACACTAGCTTATGCCTGAATATTAGAATATATCAAAGTCCTAGAGGGTTAAAAAGAGTCATGTATCTTACCTCCCATCCTAGTCTCAGGGCCTGTGAAGGTGAACCCACTGGAGGTGGGCAGGGGACAGGAGGGAAGTTCCAGAAGCAACCATCTGAGAGAGTGTAAGTATTCTAAACATGGGAAAAGAAGGAATAATCACTTGTTGAAAAAAACAGTTGTTGTTTTTTCCAGGTCTGCAAAAGAACATGGTGCATATAATAGAATCCAGCTCTAGAGGACATATTATAATGAAGTCCAATTTCTTAGGAAAGAGAATTTTCAAATCATTTCTTATACATCTTAGCTGTTCAAATTAGCATATAATCACTTCAGCTTTTTAAATAAAGTTCTATTTTAGGCTTCAAATAAAAAGAAAATATTAAAGGAAAATGGTATAGTAGTATTCCATCTTTCTAATCCAACTGCTGGTGAATGGTATATTTTACCAGTTTACCTCCTAAGTTAATGATATCCCATGACCGGTGGAACTATTTCAGTTCTGTTTGAAAATATCTCTATAAAATAAGTATTTTGAATGTTTGAACCTATCCATGTCTTAAGACAGTTAATGCCAGCAACTCATTTTTGTCATCCTACACAGTAACACTGGATTTTCAAGCAACTTTTAACTATTGCTTAAAAGGACACTAATGCAAGTAGTTTGTTGTTAATGGAGTATTTTTTTAATCACCCACCTTGTTCTAAAAACGTATAAAAATTTCTCTCATGATATACATTGTATAGAGGAGAACAGCTTCAGGTTAGAGGAATAAGGATTTCGTACGATTCGCGAGAACGACGGAAGCAGGGACGAGATCCCAGAAGGACACGTCGCAGCACGTAGAGGACACGGTGGGCAGTGCGAGGGCCAGGTTGGTGTGATCTTAATCCTTCTCCATGGAGATTACAGATGGCAGTGACTCTCTGTCATATGTCTATTTCTGGCATGTCTGTCCCTTGAGTCCTGCAGCCAGGAAAGGAAACAGTTTACATTATAATTGTTGTAATGATAACTAGAAGTGCAAAAGAGAAATACAGCTTCTTAACAGCTTTCAGAGGGAAATTTCCTTTTTACATGGTGATCATGAGTGTGCATTTTTCCTGTAATTTCAGCTCTCACTCATAGATGAAAGGAGGAAATAAACAAGCCCAAAATAGCACTTGGTGTGGGCAGGGATCAATGAGGCTACCTCACATCCAGCAATTTCATCAGGACCCTGCCTGCAAAAGGCCAGTTTGTTTTCAAAATGCTAATTCTACAACCCACCTGTAAGTCACGAAATCAAACACAAATGGCCAAAGGAGCTTTGATCCAGAGAAAATCTCTGGAGAGTGTATCACTAAACACACATTGACAATCTGTTATTTAGTAAAAAAACTTCTGTCACAAATATACAAATATCTAATTTCTAGGAGGTCCCTTAATAAGAAATATAAAAATTAATCTTCGGAGCCCCTAAATTGATATTAGTACCAATAGTGTCAATGTTAAATACATTAAATGAAGCCAGACATTTAACCTACCAAACAAATTGTGGCTCCGCCATTTCATTGGTGGATATTAATGGTTCAGAAGAAGATAAAGGGCTTTCAATCAATGTTTGAGTTATTTTTTTCCAGTTGCTTTTTTTTTTTTTTAGTTTTTATTGCTATTATAACAAAACCAAGTGAATTGTTAAGTTCTGCTGTTGTTCATAAAAGTCAAACTTAAAGCCTAAGCTAGCAATGGGACATAATCCCTCCCCCTTTACCCAACACACAGTGAAAAAGTAGAAGGAATCCATATTTCTTCCCCGCCATATTGCCTTTCACTGGCAAAAATGCTACGAGATTAGACTAAAGTAAAGCTACAGCAATATTTACATAGTCATATCAGCTTGAGACTGGAGAAGACGCTGGGCAGAGGTGTATATTGTAGTCAAAATGACACAAGGTTCAGGAAACAGTGGTGAGAAGGAAGAGACTGAGTCAGCTCTGGTTAAGTTCTGGCTTCTTACTAGTTCGCTTGACTTATCGGAAACACCTCAACTTCAACCTAATCAACACTTAAGTCGGGTAATAAAGAGTCTGATAATTCCTACTTTATTGGGTTGTGAGGAAAAACTGAGAGTGTAAAATCAAGTAACTAATGCCGAGTGTGCCCTTTAGAATTGGAGGGGATTCTTACTGTCTCAATTGATGTTGGTTTTAATTTGTTATTTCTAGGAAAATTGTGTGAATTCCAAATCTGTTCTTTTCTAGGTGAGTGAAATTGTACATGTCAGAAAACCTGATTTTCACTTTCCTCTTTCAGAATCTTAATGTAAATGAGATTTTAACTTTAAAAATCTGTAAACATGTTTATTTTTATTGTTATTATTATACTGAATGAACTAGTATAGTTAACGAAATCCAAGACCATGATTCTGACGTTCAACCTCAACCTCACTAATTCACTTATTCAGAGGCAGAACTGAGCACCTGCTCTGTGCTAGGATTGGTCTCAGGACATTGAGCTCATAGACATTAGAGTCCTAGAACAGATATTAGAAGTTAATATCTGCATAAATAAGATAACGTCAAATTTTTTTTTAAATTTTAAATCCTGGGAATAAAGTAGGATGATATAGTATTGGAGTGGGATGCTACCTAAGTAGAAAAGATAGCATCTGAGCTGAGAATTTTTTTTTTTTAAACATACGGATTAACAAGTACACACTCCTCAAGAAAATGTGGTTTGGCCCTATGTGGGGACAGGGACTAGTGGTTCACAATGTCTAAAATGTTTACTACATGACTCTTTACAGAAAAAGTTTGCAAACCTCTAATCTAGAAAAAAATTCTTTCTGGAATGATATAAGAGGCATGTACTCAAAACCAGAGTCATTTACCTATTTTTCATCTGTGGCTCAGGAATTAGGCAAACCCTTTCCTGTTTCTTCTATTCCACAGGACATGAGGTGGCATTATTTACTTCGGTGTATCCAGCTAGTGACGGGGCTGATGTGGGAATTTCAAGAAAAATCTTCATACCTGTGTTTGATGCCTCTGTGTTTCCCCGCAAGAACCACATCCTCCCCTCCCCTCTTCTCTTCTACCTCCTCCCTGTCCCTCCCCGCCTCCCTTCTCTACCTCCTCTGCTCCACCCCTCTCCCACCTCACCCCTGCATGGCTATGTGGACCTTTTCCCCACAGCATGCTAGTCTCGGGGTACTCTGACTTCTTATACACCAGCTATTTTGTTAACAGAAAGGCTTCCACGGTGCAACACTGGAAGCTTCAGAGCTTTTACGACCTGGGCTGAGTTTATGCACCTAATTACTTCCATCCCTTTCTGTTGGTCTAAGCAGATCACAGAGCCAGCCCAGATTCTGGGAGGGGGGAAAAGACTTGCCTTCTTTATGGGGGGGAGGGTGGGTGGCAACATCACATTGAGACATGTCATTTGTGATAAGAAATATTGTGAAAATCGTTAGAATCCCAATCTACTAGAAGTGCACCTAGTGACACAGTCAATTTACACACTGGCACATGCCTTCATATCCTCACACGGAGTCAGAGTCCAGAGTGCGTAGGAAGTTAGCCAGGCCGAGAGACACATTGGAAGCACGGACCTACATTCTAGGAGACAATACCGAGTACTCGAGCGTCTGTTGAGGTCACAAGAAGATACTGTACTATATTCATTTTACTTTGTGTTGTGTATTTATATGTAAAAAGCAACCTGGAAAGGCGCTTGTAAATAAATATTCAAAATTGCATTTCTGAAATATACTTTTCCCAAATGAAATAATACTGGAAATTTGTCTTTACTTTTTAATAATTAAAAGTCTGGATATGGATTCATGACAACCCTTTTCTCCCTTATAAAAGTGTGCTTGCTCTTCCATAAGATTTGACCTTATGCTTACCAGATAATATAAATTCTGACTGAAGCAGACTTTTTCTGTACAAAGAAGGAGTCTATAATTATCAAAACCCTAGTTCATGATGTCTCTAATAACTTTAAGGTTCTCAACATTTGCCAGATTATATCCTGCGGTGGGAAGGATTTTCTCCCATTATGCCCAGAGAAAAATGAAAAAAAAAAATAGTTTACCCTTAAAGTTACCAGTTAGATTTTTTAAAAGTGTGTTTCTCTGTGACATTAGGTATTAGAAATGTTCCACTGTTTTGTGTACTTCTGTGAGATCTTTTGCGAGGAGGTGATTCATCAGTGAACTATAAAAATGTTAAAACTTTAAAAATAAAAAATTAAAATTGTTATTTTTTATTAAACAAGGAAATTGAGCTACTAAATAAAATACTATTGCATTGTTAGTTGGAATTTACTTAATTATTAATTATCATGTATAAAAATGTAAACCCTTCAAATGGTCTGATGTACCTAATTTTTAAATAATAAATTGAGGTAAATATATAGACTTACATAACAGCAAATTTCTAAATCAAAAGACTTTTGTTCAGAAAAAGAGTAAGTGAAATTATGCAATGAGTAATTTCTGAAATTACTTATTTCAGTGCCCTTTATTAGGTAGAAATCTAAACGATGTTTTCTCAGAATTGGGATTGACCATACACGTCATAGGATGAGGAGGGAAAATACATCCAAGAAGAAGTTTCATTTGAAAAACAATTTTTTAGAAGACTATATTCTTTAAGGAGAATTTCAGGGTGAAATACAGTAAAATTCTATATATTGTAATTTGCGTGCCTGTAACTGTAAACATCTAATGGAAATGGTATCTACTCGAAGACTGACATGACAACCCCCCTTCTGGTTTCCTCTTTTTCAGATACTTGCTCTCGGAGTTAATAACCGACATTATCTAAGATGTCCCCATTCTTACATCTTTATTCTTAAAGTGGGCTTAAATATACTGTAAATGTACTAAACAGTGGATTCTTTTTTTTTTTTTTTTTGCAAAGTCAGTGAATAAATGGGGGAAACATCATAAACTGTTTCCTTTCTCTTTTAGGAAATTAAATGAGCCAAGTGGATCTTCAAACTGTTGTTGTTCTATCATGTGCCACCGCAGCACTCCATGGGAAAACAAAAAGCTCTGACAGAGGCCAAATAAACTGCAACATCAAAAGTAGGTCCGGAAATCACATTATGTTCAAGAAATATAAACAACAGCC